CGCTATTTTCGGCCTCGGGAGGCCCATCACCAGGCCTTGGTACCGGGGGAAAAAAAAGGCTCAGGATGAAAAGCCGGTCCTGGGGAAGGGCTCTAGACTTGTGGGGGTCGACGCTGTCAAAATTTCACGACGTCGGGGGCTTAGGTTATGAGGAGCGGAAGAAGGACGCAGACGTATAACCGCATGCCGATGAGAATAAAGTACCCCCCCCCCCTTAAGTCGTTAGAGTTTTTTATCGTCGACCAATAAGAGTTTGGTCGGGGGCGCGGGGGCGCGGAGGCCGAACTTCATTATCACGGGAAAAGTTCGCCATCGAAGTTATTTCCTTCTTATGTTGAGATAACAGCATCAAGCGAAGCGAACACGTTGTTTCAGGATGTCTCAAGCGAAACCAATGTCCTTCTGTCTCTTTGTAGTTATTTCTGTCTCTCTTTCTTTCTTTCTCTGTCTCTCTTTCTCTCTCTCTCTCTGTCTCTCTATCTCTTTCTCCTTCCTGGCCTCTCTGTCTCTCTCTCTCTGTCTCTCTATCTCTTTCTCCTCCTCCTCCCCCTGGCGCCCTGAACTTGTTTATCGCTGGGGTTGATTATCCAGGGAAAACGAGGCACGTGAGCTACCCTATACGAGCACTCAAACATTTTAATTTTCATAAAGCGCTTGTACATAAAATTTAATACATTTGAATCTTCAGTTTTTTTGTTTTATCCTCCTTTCCTCTTCTCTTTTTCCTTTTCATTTATTATTCTACTTTTCTTTTTAAATATTTCTTCTCTCTTTAAGTCCTTCCTTTCTTTTTCTTTATGATGTATCTCTCTTTCTCTCTCTCTCTCTCTCTCTTTCTCTCTCTCTCTCTCTCCATGCCCCCCCTCTGAACTTTTTTATCCCTGGGGTTGATTATCCATGGAAAATGAAGCACATGAGCTACCCTACACGAGCACTTAAAAATTTTGATTTTCATAAAGCGCTTGTAAATAAAATCTAATACATTTGAACTTGAGATTTTTCCTTCTCTTTCTCCTCCTCCTCTGTTTTCTTGTCTTTTCGATGTTTTCCCTTTTTCTTTTTGATTTTTTATTGTTTCTTTTTATTTTTGTTGTTGTATATTGCTTTCTCCATTCCTCCGCCCGCCTGAACTTTATTATCCCCGCGGTTGATTATCCAGGGACACCGAGGCGGATGAGCTATTCCGAGGATGTCTCAAGCGAAACAAGCATAAACTCGAGGATGTCTCAAGCGAAACAAGCATATACTGAAGGATGTCTCAAGCGAAACGATACGTTTCTCAAGCGAAATAAGCAATAGTTCGACGGTGTCTCAAGCGAAATAAGCAATAGTTTGTGGATGTCTCAAGCGAAACAAGGGATTTGTCGAGGATGTCTCCAGCGAGATAAGCCATTGTTGAGGATATTTCTATGAAGAGTAAACGCCAAGGATGTCTCAAAACGTGCTCGGCTTGGTCTCCTCTTGATCATCTCTTACTTCGAGATTATGCTGAGGTCTGGTGGGCTACTTTGATTATCTCCCCCTGAACCCCGAACTTTATTATCCCCTAGTGTTTATTCTCGAAGGTATTCGGTTATGAATCTTCGCTTTTTTTAGAGGGTACGTATTGCGCGAACGTTCGTATCTCGCGGCTGGTCTCGCGGATCGGGGAGCCGTGTTCATGTCCATGGCTGGGCGCGTACGTCCTCTGTGGGTTCCTTACCAAGGAGGCCCCCACGGGCCCCAGACGAAGAAGAGACCATTGAGCGACGCAGAAACCCAGACATGATCGCGTCGTGAAAAGTTCAGGACGAAAATCTTTCGCCGCTTTGGCTCTGGAGGCCCCCGCTAGGCCCGAACACAGTCAAAACACGACTCTGGATGAAAAACCGGTCCCGGGGAGGATCGGGACTTCCGGGGACCGCGTATTGAACAAATCAAAACGTCGCATGTCTGGGAACACGGGTTCGACCGCACCGACATCCGCGCGTGGGCTGCCCGCGTAAGGTCGCGCGTGAGTGCCTCGTGTGGGGGCCCCGAAGTGTCTGCGGGTCCCCGCATTCACCACTAATCGGCCGCTTGGAGGCCACAGAGCGGCCGCAGGCTGGACCCGAAGCATGTGCAGTTCTCGTCTCCAGTTTGGCGTGCCGCGCCGGCGGCCCGCGTAAGGTCGCGGCGTGAGGTCGCTGTGCCATGTCGCATGAGGCCCGCTTGTTTCGTTAGTTATGCATAAAGTTCCGGAGGTTCGCGCGGTTTTCTTTGGAATGGCTTTGGAACACCACCACCTGGCGGCGGCGCCGCCGTCGGCGCCGCAGGGGGTCCGGCGCAGGAGCCGATTTCCGGGAGCGACGCCGCCACCGCCGGGCGGCGAGGACCTCCCAGAAGTCGCTTCCTAATTTGAGGGGCAGCATCGGGGGGGTACAGTCAACCCGCATGGTAAGGATGGGCAACCTTCCCAAAGGTACCCTTGCATCCTTGCCTCCTCGGTCCATTCTTGGCCGCTTTGGCCGCGCCCCGCTTGAGAAGCTTCGACATGGCCCTCCAATGCCCTTGCATCCTGATCGCGCATCCTTCTTGTACGAGCCGACTGTAACGAAAGGGGGGGACAGGCATAGGTTCTCGGTCGTTTCCGATTCGAGGTTCTAGGTTTTCGGTTGTTTTCGTTGGTTCGCGGCGGCTTTCCAGCCTCGGGATGCGTTCCAGCAGCTGTGCCTCGCCGAGGGCGTTCCAGGGGTGCCGGCATCGTTCTCAACGGCCGCCAGAGGATTCAGGTAAGGCCCGGAAACCATCAGGGGATAGGTTCATTGGGGGATGCATCGACCACCAATCGCCCACTGAGCGCCGCGAGGGGCCCGATAGCGTTCCCCCGCCCAGGAGCTCGCGTATTCGCCACCAGAGGCCAATCGGCGATGTCTCGCCGATTCAGCTCGATGCCCCCCCCCCCCCGTTTTCCTGCGGCGGCCCCCCCCAACGCTGCCTTTCATAACTTGTTCACCGTTCCTTGTGGTAGCAGCCTGACCGTGCGTCGTTTGTCTGTCCCCCCCTCGCCTCCGGCGCAGGCTCCTGCGGCAGCTGCTGGGCGTACGCGTCCACCGCGGCAGCGCCCGCGCCTTTCCCTCCCGCGCGCCCCGGCTACGAACACGACGTGGACGACGCAGATGCCGCGGCGTCGACTACGACGTCGTCGTCGTCGAAGACGTCGTCGTCGCCGCCGCCGTCGTCGTCGTCGTCGTCGACGTCGTCGTAGCCGTCGTCGAAGACGTAGACGGCGAGTCCCAGTCGACGCAGACGTGGACGACGGTCAAGGGACGAAGAGATACTTAACAATACCGCTGCTCGTCCTGGGTAGTTAGCTCTGGCCACCGAGGCCAGATTCTCTTCGCGCTCCCGGTCAGAACGCGCCCCAGGAGAGGTCCAGGGAGCAGCGGTATCAGTAATTGCGCCATAAGCATATTTTTTGCGCTCCGCGCAGATTTTTTGGATCTGCGCTGGGTCCCCTTAGCGGCGCCTCCGGTGCCGCCCCTGGCGCGCTCCGCGCGCCAGGGAGGGGGGCCCATCACAGATCCAAGAAATCCGCGCGGAGCTCCAAAAGTTTTCGTTTATGCCGTGTTTTCTTTCTACTTCTTGGCCCCCCTGGACGAGTCGCCGCCGTCGACGACGACCGCGACGGCGGCGACGTCGTCCGACGACGTGGTCGTCGTCGAAGGCGTACCCAGATCGCTGACGATCTGATGTCACTTTGGGCGCTTCTCCTCGACAATTGTCGGCCTGCTGGGCCCGTCGTCGGGCCCTTCTACGTTCGGCCGCCGAGCGCGCAAGCCACGGCGCGGTCACCAGCGGTCCGTTCTGCCCCTGGCAGCCGAAAGCGCCATTTTCGCGGCGCGATCTGTAGTCGAAGAAAAAACATCGGCATAAACATCAAGTTGTGGCGCTCCGCGCGGATTTCTTGGATCCGCGCTGGGCCCCCCGGCGGCGCCTTCAGCGCCGCCCCTGGCGCGCTCCGCGCGCCAGGCAGGGGGCTCCAGCGCAGATCCAAGAAATTCGCGCGGAGCGCCACAAGTTTATGTTTATGATGTTTTTTCTCCTTCTTCTTCTTCTTCTACTACTGAGTTGGAGGCCGTTGCATCCTTGGCTGCCGAGCGCCAAACCTCTGGCGCGACCAACGGCAGGCCGTTTCAGTATGGGCGGCCGAGCGCGCAACCCACATGACGCAATCAATGGCAGGCCACTTGTGCGCGCAAGCTATTGTCGGCCGCCGAGCGCACAGCAAACGACGCAATGAATAGCAGGTCGTTTTCGTCGCGGCCTCCGAGAGCGCAACCCATGGCGCAACGAATAACAGTCTGTGGTAGCCGCGGCCGCCAGGCGGGCAGCCGCAACGTGGAGCAGGCCGTTGTAGTCTCGGCCGCCGTGCGCGCAACTTGTGGCGCAGCGCATGGCGCGGCCCAGGGATTGCGCAGCCTCATGGGGCCAGCTCACGGATGGCGCGGATGGCGCAGCCCACGGATGGCGAATGCCACGCGGCGCGTTTCTTGGCGCAATTCCCAGGGCCCTGTTGGTTTCGATCGATCCCGTCCGCTACCGAGTTCACCCGATCCGATTCGATTCCGATCTCTTGTCGATCCGATGCGGTCCGATGCTTGCGCAGCGCAGCTGTGCAGCTGTGCTGTGCATCCTGGCGCGGCCGGTCCGATTCGACTTCGACGCCGGGCCGGTGCGGCCCGATCCGACGCACACTCCGCTGCGGTTCGAAGTCCCGACTCGGTGCAGACCGATCCGGACACGTGGCGCAGCCCGCGGTGCAGCCCACGGATACTGCGACCCGCGGCGCAGCCCAGAGCGGCTGGCCTGCGCAGCTCCTGCGAAGGCCCGCCACTCGGGGCCGTGTCGTGGACGGCCCCGCGGCCTGGGGACGGCCTCGCGATGCCGAGGCTTGTGGAACTTGGCACCGCTCGGACGTGTGCATTTTTCCTTCGGCGAGGACCATCGAGGAGCATCCTTGATCATTTGGCGAAAAAGCCACGCACGAAACCAAAAAAACACAGGAAATGGACGTCCGAGCGATAGCCAGGGAAAGCCTCTGGCGCGGTTTTGATTGAGCTGTTCGGGCTCCCCGTAGGTCCTCAGAGATCCCATGGACCAGGGGCAACTTCATGGGGGATAGGCTCCGCGGGGCACGTGACGACCCCCAGTTTCCCATTGATCGGCGACAGGGGCGCGATCGCCAACTCCGCCCAGGAACGTGCGGATTTGCTGCAGGAGGCTTATCGCCGATCTATCGGCGATGTATCGCCGATTCCAGGCCGATGCCTCACCCACTGAGCCGGTGCCCCCCTAACGCTGCACCCGGAGGCCGCTGCAGGAGGCACAGACACTGCCCAGAGCCTCGAGCCTCGAACTTTGACGAACGAACAACACACACCCATACCCATAGGGGGGTCGTTGGGAGGAGGACTGGCTATGGGTATGGGTGCTGGTTGTCAGACCCTGGGGAACTCTCACGTTCGAGCGGGGACCCCCATCCGACAGCACGCACCCATAGCTCTCTCCAACCCCCCTGTGGGTATGGGTGTGAGTTGTTGGTTCGTCAAACTTCTCGGTGCCCGATTCTCACCCGCCTCCTCCGCCGCCTCCTCCTCCTCCGCCTCCTCCTCCTCCGCCTCCTCCGCCTCCTCCGCCTCCTCCTCCGCCTCCTCCTCGTCCTCCTCCTCCTCCGCCTCCTCCGCCTCCTCCGCCTCCTCCGCCTTCCCTTCTTCTCCTCCTCCTCCTCCTCCTCCTCCTCCTCCTCCCTCCTCCTCCTCTCTCCTCCTCCTCTCCTCCTCCTCCTCCTCCTCCTCCTCCTCCTCCTCCTCCTCCTCCTCCTCCTCCTCCTCCTCCCCCCAGGGGGTCCGAGTCCCGCTTCGGGGCCGATCTGGAGGCTCGTCCAGGGGCGCACTCTGGCCGGGGCGGTCGCGCGGCCACGGCCGCGGGGGCCACGGAAGAAAGCTCCCGAGAACGCTGAAGGGGGAGAAGCAGGAGGGGGGCGACGACGACGACGACGACGACGAGGACGAGGACGAGGACGAAGGCGACGACGAGGGCGGAGACGACGACGAGGACGGCGAGGACGGCGACGAGGAGGAGGACAGCGAGGACAGCTCCTGCTCCTCTTCCTCCTGCTCCTCCTGCTCCTGCTCCTCTTCCTCCTGCTCCTCTTCCTCCTGCTCCTGCTCCTGCTCCTGCTCCTCCCCCTCGCCGCCGTCCTCGTCGCCGTCGTCCCCGCCGTCCTCGCCGTCATCTTCTGTCCTCTTCGTTGTCGTCGTCGCCGTCGTCGTCGTCGTCCTCGTTCTCGTCCTCGTGGTCGTCGCCGTCCTTCCTCAGAAGCTCTCGTCGTCGTCCTCGTCGCCGCCGTTGTCGTCGTCCTCGTCGCCGTCCTCGTCCAAGTCCTCGTCGCCCTCGTCCCCGTCGACCTCGTCCTCCTCCTCGGGACAGCCGCGACGAGGGCGAGGACGAAGCGCTCCTCCGCCCAGGCACTGAACGCGCACGCCGAGCTCAACAACAACACCAACCGGTATTCCGTCGCCCAGATCGTGGCCTGCACCCCCAACCCGCAGAAGTGCGGCGGCAACGGAGGCCCCCAGGGCCCCTTCCCCGCGCGACGCGGGAGAGCAAAAAGCATGCGCGATGTGGTTCCCGACCCAGGGGGCAGCGGTAGGGGGGAAAAAAGGGGGGCGCGCCGCGCATCAAGAAACCTTATATACTTTTCGTCAGGGCCCCCTGGGTTTCTTCGCTCCGCGCGCTGCGCGGTGACTCCCCGCGGCCGTCAGATCAGAGGAGCTGCTGCGTTCAGTGTGCTCCGTGGTTTCCCTCGGGTGCACCTCGCGCGCGGGTTTCAGGGTTGAGCTTCTTGCGAGGTTTTTTTGCGGCCGCGCCCGCACTGTAATTAGGCATACCGGCGGCAAGCGAGGGGGGTGGGAAGTGAGAAGGAGAAGACCTTCTCAGAAGGCGGCGGGCCTTCTCAGAAGCCCTCGCGCCTTCTGAGAAGTTTTGGGTGTCTTCGGTGAAGGCTTACAAACTTCTCAGAAGGCCGGGAACCTTCCAAGCCTTCTGAGAAGGTCCGCCCCTTCTCACGTCCCCCCATGGGCGCGCCGCCTATGATTCTCGGTCGTTTTCGATTCGAGGCTCGAGGTTTTCGGTCGTCTTCGTCTGTTCGCGGCGGCTTTCCAGCCTCGGGATGCGCTCCAGCAGCTGCGCCTCGCCGAGGGCGTTCTGGGGGTGCCGGAATCGTTCGGAACGGCTGCCAGAGACCCGAGTCATGATCGGGGACCATCTGGGGAAAGGTATAGGGGGGGATGTATCGACCTCTAGTCGCCCACTCATCGCTTATACGGGCCCGAAAGCCCCGCCCCGCCGAAGGAACGTGCGGATCCGCTATCGGGGGCCCATGGCCACTCTATCGGCATTGTATCGCCGATTCCGGGTCGATGCTCCCCCCCTAATCCCAGTCCCCCTCCCCATCGTGCCTCGCATCAGTATTTTCGTCGGCCGCAGTCCTAGACGACGCGTTCTTGGGGTCCCGGCGGTGTTTCTCCTCCGTGCTCTTGGGCGTCAGCGTGTAAGACAACTGTTCGCCTGGAGTAGATGCCCCCAGAAGTTGGTGACGTTTCGCGAATCCCCACCAGCCCGTCGCTCTGTTGGTTTTCCAGCGTCTCTTGCCGTTTCCGCCTAGGCCCCTTGCGTGCGCACACTGGCAGTACTGTGCCCCAGTTTTCTGCTGTTAACTTGTCTGTGGCGCGTACCCGTTTCGATTTGACACGCCGCCGGCGCTTCCGCCCGCGGCCGTTGACTAAAACAGCATCCCCACCGGCCTGTTTCTGGCCGCGCCGCCGCGCCATGTTGGCTGCGCTCACTTGCTGGTCGCCACTGAAGTTTCCAACGCCACCTCCTCGGAGGCCACGATCCTCGTGAGGGGTGGCGAAGAATAGCCTCCCCCCTGGGGATCTCCCGGGGATCAGCCGGGGATCGGCCGGAGTACTTTTCGTCTGGGGCCCCCCAGGGGCCGCCCCGCGCGCGCGAACTAGAAATATTGTTAAGTAGTTACTGGAGATCTTAGCACGCCTCTGGCCCGTTGGGCCGGCGAATTGCTGGTCGCCACTGGGGTTTCCAACGCCACCAGGTTTGAGAGCATCGGTTCTGGCTCTCCTTCTGAGTGGCTGCCCGCTCGCTCGTTTCGCTCGCCCTTCTTTTCTTGCTGCCTAGTCGCGGCCCGACTAGTGTTCGGACGGCTTTCGACCCGCCTCGCGAGCCTGTTGACCGAAGAATCTTCACCAGCCCATCCAGAAACGATGCCCACAGGAATTGCCTCGATCAGGGAAGTGGGCAGCACACAGAGGAAGCCATTATGAGACATCTTGGGATATCTGGAGCCATCTTGGAGGTCATCTTGGGCTCCTCCCAGGCGCTCTTGGGGTCATCTTAATCAGTGCCTCCCCCCAAGAGGCCAACATGTTGTTTAAATTTCAGTAAATCAATGATTTGGTATTCTCGCCGAGGCCTCTTGGAGCATTTTGGGTGCCTCTGGGGGGTCTTTTGGGGCCTCTTGGGGTCTCTTGGGAGCCTCTTGGGGGCATCCTGGGGGCCCCAGGCTTCCTGGCCACCTCTTGGGGCCCTTGGGGCACCCCTGGGAGCCTTGGGTCCATCTTTGGGCCATCTTGGGTCAGATCGATCACAGGGGGGGTACTAAGTACAGCCCCCCCCAAGAGGCTACAATGGGGCCAAAACCATTGTGAAACCAATGATTTTGGTTACCTCGCCGAGGCCGTTTTGGACGCCCCGGCGACTCGCGGAACCCCTTGTCCAGGTCCAGGGTAGGGGGTAGGGGAGGGGTAAACCACTCCCCGAAGGGGAAGAAGGGGGGGTGGAAGAGGAAACGCTCAAAACCACCGACGCCCAGAGGGCTGGTGGGATTCAGACATCGCGATTCGGGGACGTTGACCAGGGCCCTTTTCGGCTCCCCCCCTCGCGCGGACAGTTACAATTTACAGTAAGAAGCAGGAAACAATCTTGTAACATTGGAAACTGGACACTGGAACTGGTGCAGCGTACTGAAACCTGAGCCTCACAGCCTGATGGCCCCGCAAGGGGGCCAGCGGGCTTGTGTGACCCAGGGCCCCTTCACTCATGACGGCCTCGATAGGGGGGCTCGGGCGGCCCAGGAAGCGTCTCGAGCGGCCCCAGGGGGGCGTCCGGGGCGCTGCGGGGTGGCCCCCGAGAGGTCCCCGAGAGCCGCATGTCTCTGGTCATCCTCGGGTTTTCCCTGGAGTTTCAGCGTTCTGCCCTTCTCGGGCCTGCCGCGCTCGAGAGGCCCTGGCAGGCTCCCAGGATGGCTCCCGGCAGGGCAGCGCATCCGCCGCCCGCTTGAGCGCCAGGACGTCGGCTCCCAGGCGGTGGATTGGAGAAATCCCCGCCTCGCAGGCTGGAGGGGAGGGTCTGCGAAGCTTCTCCCCGCGGGCGCCGCGCGGAGGCAACGGTCGAAGACGACAACACGCCATATACGGAAACTTTTGGCGCTCCGCGCGAATTTCTCGGGCTGGCGCCTGGGCTCCCCTAGCGGCGCCTCCTGCGCCGCCCCTGGCTCTTGGCGCGCTCCGCGCGCCAGGGAGAAAAGTCCAGCGCGGATCCCAGAAGTCCGCTCGGACCTTCGAACGTGTATGGTTATGCTGTTTTTTCTTTCTCTGAACGAGTCATGCAACGTCCAAAGAATGTGTAATTGTTGACGCTTCGCGCATCCCCACCAGCCCATCCAGAAACGATGCCCAGGGGAGTTGAGGTGATCAGGAAGTGGGGGAGCATGCAGAAGAACAAAGGGCGTGGGAAGCCGTCATATACCCCAAGAGGGGGAGGATGTAGGAGGAATTGTCGTTGACGTCGTCGTCGGAGGAGGAGGAGGAGGAAGAGCAGGAGGAAGAGGAGGAGGAGGAGGAGGTGTAGGGCGAGGACGAGGATGACGAGAAGGAGGAGAAGGAGGGAGAGTTGGGTACCTCGGGGATCCTTTTGAGGCATCGTATGGGATCTCTTGGGAGCCTCTTGGAGGCGCTCTCTTGGGACTCTCTTCGGGGCCTCTCTGAAGCCCTGGAGGACCTCTTGGGGCCAGCTGATCAAAAGCGGGGGTCCTATACATAGCTCCCGCCCACAGGAGCCCTCGGAATCGCCTCTTGGGGCCCTCTTGGGGCGCTCTTGAGCGGTCTTGGGGCTGTCTTGGGGGCCCCTTGGGCCCATCTTGGAGCTCTCTTGGGTCATCTTAGGGCCATCATGAGGCCTCAAAAACTAATCGGAAGCGAAAAGGCGAGAAGGCAAAAGTCATTGATTTTCCTGGGGCGTTTGAAGGATTTTGGCTTTTCGGGGAGGTCCTGAGGGGTCTCCAAAAGCACCTGGATCCGTCTTGTGGCCCTCTTGGGGCCTCTTGGAGGCATGCTGTTAGCTATCTTGAGCCATGTTGGGCTATCTTGAGCGATCTTGGAGGCCATCTTGGACTCTGAGGCCCTCTTGGAGCCATCTTGGGCGCTCTGACACCTCTGGCCCCTCCCCGTCCAGGTCCAGGGGAGGGGGTTTGGGGAGGGGTAAACCCCTTCCCGAAGGGGACGAGGGGCTTTTGGAAGAGGGAAAGATATCCTTAGACCACCTACGCCCAGAGGGCTGGTGGGATCGCGCGGACCGTCGAACGTTTATGATTATGCTGTTCTTGCTTCCCCTGAACAAGTTACGCAACGTCCAAGTAATGTGTACTTCATGACATGGCGAGGTCACCTCACGACGAGAAGAAGAGGCTCTTGCCTGACAAGCCGACACACGCAAAAGTGCAGGCGCGCCCTCGAGGGCGCGAAGTGATTCGCGCTTCGCTCTTTGGCTCCGATTCCCCTCCTCCTGCTCCTCCTCCTCCTCCTCCTCCTCCTCCTCCTCCTGATCCATGCTCCTCCTCCTGCTCCTCCTCCTCCCCGGGGGGGCGGCGCGAGAGCGCGAAGCGATTCGCGCCCTCGCGCGGCGCGAGGGCGCGAAGTTGGCGCCCTTTTGGGGAGCAGCACAGCGTCAGCGCGAGGCGCGCCCCAGGGGGCGCGGGCGAGGAAGCGCCGTGCGCGGGGAGCTCGCGCGCGCGCGGGGGGCTCGGGAGAGCCGCAGGCGCCAGGCGGGGAGCGCGCGCCACGGCGGCGCGGGACCCGGACCCCCTCGCCCTGCGGCAGAAGTCACGACGGAAGGTTCGTCGCTCTGTTCGGCCTCCGGGGGCCCTTCCCGGGCCTCGGGACCGTCAGAAAGCGACTCGGGATGAAAGGCTGGTCCAGGGGAAGGGGTCCAGACCTCTGAGGGTCGGCGTCCTGAAGAAATCACGGCGTCGGGGGTCCGGGGAAGGCAAAGACCCGCAGGCGGGGGGCTCACAAGCTCACAAGGGGGGGGCGCGCGCGCAGGGGGCGCGCGAGGGAGCAGCAGGCGCAGGCGTGGAGCGCGCGCCACGGGGGCGCGCGAGATCAAAGACACGCAGGCCAGCGGCGAGCGAGGGGGGGAAGTGAGAAGGAGAAGGCCCTCCCAGGAGGCGGCGAAGCTTCTGAGAAGGCCTCGCGCCTTGCCGAGGAGGCTTCTGT